CAGCTGACCTTGTACAATCCAGCTTCCTTAACCACTATGCCATTGCCTGGCCCAACACTTAGGTATGTCAAATTTGAGGCATTCCTTTTTTGGGGGCAGTCAAAAGAAATGAAAGCAGAAAATGCTTTATTGTTGAGAAATGACTCAAGTAGAATTGAATTCTGACACTAATTGAACACTTACTATGTTTCAAGAATAGTGATTCTATTTCATTTAAGCATCACATCAGTTTCATGAGTCTTATACCTCCATTTTCTCCATCTTTACAAGGTAGTGCAGTTGATAAATAATGGACAAGGATTTCAGCCTAAGACATCCTTGAATCCACTGCTAACCTGCCATCTGGTGCCTTTTTCCAGACTGCCATCCACACTTTTCATAATTTCCAATCACATTCCCTATGTGATCCAGAGATTCATCAAGATTTGGAAACTTCTATTTGAAACATGCATTTTTGGACATACAGAAGTCCTTTGTGGGATCCCGAATATTCAAAATATGTGTGTCCTCATGAAATAGGCTGCTCTGTAATGATAGGACCCTATGAGGTCTGTTTTGAGCAGCTTTTCTAGGCTTTCCCTCAGGGGACCAGAGAGACAGGAGAAGCTAATAAACTCTCCAAAGCACAAAGGGAGGGAAATTCCACAATGAGTTAATAAAACTAGAAGGTAAATTTCTTATGTAAATGTCTTTCTTATGGCTAGCCATTACAAAAATATTAGACAAATGAATTCAAATAATAACCTGACATACCCAGGTTCTAGCAATACTGGGACAAATGTCATTGAAAATATATTGTTAGAGCCTCTATTTCATCCCTCTCTCTTTTCTTCTATTTACCACAAACTTACTACCAAGGATTAGATTTTGATTATTGACCAAGACACTTAGATATTTCATTCTTTTTCTAAAAATTTGCCAGGGGGCAGGTGCACTTGCGAGAGAGAGAGAGAGAGAGAGAGAGAGAGAGATAGCAAGCACCACCATGGAGGATGTTCACACTGCAATTTCTTCATTTCTCCTTTTGAAACTGTGAGCATGTATGCACAGGCACCCGGCATGTTTTTCAAGCCACCAGTTCCAAAGACATGAACCACACAGCTGACCTTGTACAATCCAGCTTCCTTAACCACTATGCCATTGCCTGGCCCAACACTTAGGTATGTCAAATTTGAGGCATTCCTTTTTTGGGGGCAGTCAAAAGAAATGAAAGCAGAAAATGCTTTATTGTTGAGAAATGACTCAAGTAGAATTGAATTCTGACACTAATTGAACACTTACTATGTTTCAAGAATAGTGATTCTATTTCATTTAAGCATCACATCAGTTTCATGAGTCTTATACCTCCATTTTCTCCATCTTTACAAGGTAGTGCAGTTGATAAATAATGGACAAGGATTTCAGCCTAAGACATCCTTGAATCCACTGCTAACCTGCCATCTGGTGCCTTTTTCCAGACTGCCATCCACACTTTTCATAATTTCCAATCACATTCCCTATGTGATCCAGAGATTCATCAAGATTTGGAAACTTCTATTTGAAACATGCATTTTTGGACATACAGAAGTCCTTTGTGGGATCCCGAATATTCAAAATATGTGTGTCCTCATGAAATAGGCTGCTCTGTAATGATAGGACCCTATGAGGTCTGTTTTGAGCAGCTTTTCTAGGCTTTCCCTCAGGGGACCAGAGAGACAGGAGAAGCTAATAAACTCTCCAAAGCACAAAGGGAGGGAAATTCCACAATGAGTTAATAAAACTAGAAGGTAAATTTCTTATGTAAATGTCTTTCTTATGGCTAGCCATTACAAAAATATTAGACAAATGAATTCAAATAATAACCTGACATACCCAGGTTCTAGCAATACTGGGACAAATGTCATTGTAGAGAAAAGGTGAAAGATTATGGAAATTACTACTACTCTGGTACCTTGGAGGTGAGAGTCAGATCAGGAAGCTCAGATGCTTCCATGGATCTTAATTCAGCCTAGGAAAACAGACTGCCACAGCTCAAATGCCCCTTCATTCATTCACTGTTTTGTCCCCTAACAACTTATTTATTTTATATCCTTCAATCTTCCCATCATTAAAATCTGTCTTCTGTCCTTTCTTTAGGACATTGCTCTCAGATTTCTTTCTTTTGAGAGTTTTTTATTATTATTTATTTATTTATTTATTTTTGCTATAGGCTGCGTGTGCTCACCAGACAGACAGAGAGAGACAGAGAAACAGAAAGTGAGAAATCACCCCCCCCCCAGGGGGGATGGCCATGCCACAATACCCTTGCCTCCATTCTCCTCTTGGGATCTTGGGCACGCATGCACATGCGGCCAGCGTGAGTTTAAGGCACCGGGTCCGGGACTTGAACTGCAGTCAACTACGTGGGAGTCCAGTGATAAAGCCATTACGCTAAATGCTGGTTCCACTCTCAGATTTCTAATGTGACACTTAAAAAATCATATAAATCAATGTACGCTGATTTGTTCATTTTCAAAAAACATTTACTGAAAACTTCCTATGTATTTATTTCAGAGTAAGCAAAGAAGGAAATCATATAATCCCTCCAATGGTGGCATTGATGTCTTAATTGTTCTTGTCTTTATTGATTCATTCAATAAATATTTTGAGTATCTATAATGTGCTAAGTAATATGCTAGACATTTAATATTCAGAATGAGAAAATAAAGAGAAAATACACTTCCTGGATTCATAGTAGAAGAACCCTGAAATCTATGGACAATTTAAAATCACTGTGATAAGAACTATGGAAGCACATGGAAGCCTATCACGGACTAAAACGAGGTTATTGCTGAAAAGAGTTCCAAAATACTTAAGAACTGAGAGTTTTCCCAAAGTAGAAAGTTTAGGATAGTCCAGACAGGAAGAATAGTACATAGGTAAGCAGAGGTGTGGGAAGGAGCAGGAAATGGATAAGGAACAATAGTTATTTTTTGGGGGGGGTATGAAGGGAGAGGTAAAATTGTGTAGACTTCTAAAGAGTCTACACGTGCTGCCTCCACTTATTTTCCATGCACTCTACAATCTATGGTAATCTATTTTCATCTTCACCATTGCCTTACATTGCTTTTTTAATATTTGAGGTATAGTGCTGGCCTGTGGTCTGGTGATTAAGAAAGCCAGATCCCACATGCTCATCATGCGGTTCAAATCCCAGACCTGGCAGCTTGAAAAACATGCTGAGCGTGTGTGTGTGTGTGTGTGTGCATGTGTGTGTGCACCTAAATCCCAAATGGATGGAGAAGTGCAAGAGAAGAGTTCTTTATCCTTCTCTCTTCCTTTCTCTCTGTCTCTCTGCCTCTTTCAAGTAGGTAGCCACACCCTCTGGCATATGAAGTTCATCCTTTCCAAGTACACACTTAGTGGATTTTAGTTTATTACAAAGTTTACTCCACCATCACTATCTAATTTCAGAACATTTGTATCACTCCAAAAAAGAAACCTCATACCAGTTAGCAGTCACTCTCCTTTCCTCTTATTCCCAGTCCTTGGCAAGCACTAATCTATTTTCTATGAATTTACCTGTTCTTGACATTTGATATATTTGATTCCTTATATGACATTCTAATAAGTTGAGCAGGGGGCAATTAGCCCTCCATGTGGAACTATTTCACGTCTCCACACTGTGATCATCAGAGGTCCTCCACTTGGAATAGACATTTGCTCTCTTTTTCATCTGAAGTATGCCTTTTTGTTGTTTTCTATTTTTTAAAAAAATCTGCCTTGCTCGACTTCTCAACTCCCTCAGAGAGAACAGGATCCCTCCTTCCTCTCTGTTTTTCTCTACATACTACACTTTCATTATTTTATGTATGGCTGTGTAATTGGTGCATCTGTCCCTTTCACTGGACTCTGAACAGGTTGAGAGTAGAGGCCATGAATAATTCATTTCTTCATTCATTAATTAATCCATTCATCCCAAAAATATTGATCGAGCATTTATTACATGCTAATCCCTGAAGCCCAGAACCAACTCCCGAGGATGGCATGTAGTAAACCTTCATTAAGTATTTGAGGAAACCTGAAAGAATGAGCCTAGTCTAGGCTGGGGCCTAGTCTTTTCACCAATCACAGGGAATTAAATTGAGAATAGAGAGAAGAGAAAAACTCCCAGAAAACACAGTACAACTAGACAAGATGGGGTCAGACCAACAACTACCATTTACCCAGTAAGGTACAAAGAGAATCCCTACCTCACATTCACAGGAAACCTCGGAGCAGAGAGAGAGAAAAATAGGTCTCTATCTAGACATGTTTCTTCCCCAAAAGGTCCTGTCCTGGATGTGTTTTTTCCACAGGCACTAGGAGCAGAAGGGAGAATGCACTCACCCCAAGGGGAAGTGATAACAGTGGAAAGAGCCCATCTATTCAGTCCTCATGTCCTGTCTTAACATCCTCTGTCATGTAGGTCATCCCTCTCTCCGTATAGAGGATCAATAAGGGGGCTTGAAAGAAAGAGAAAAAGAAACTTTCCTCCCAGAATTTGTGGAAAGGTAGGAATTCCTACAACACATGCCACACAATATAAACCAAGTTGGAAAAGCAGGGAGAGGGATACATGACTCTTCCTACGATTACCCTCTCAAGAAAGTTTTAAAAGGATTGATCACCGTAAAAATAAATCTCACATTCAAGGGTGAAGGGATAAGGAAGCTACCTTGAAATTGTACATCAGGACTTCATGCATAATTTCAAGAAATATTTCAAAATTAATGCCCGGGGTAGAAGTTCAGGCCGAAAGGATAAAAAAAAACCACCCCAATATACAGATAGCTATTAAATCAATTATGCTGAAATAGGGAAAGGCCTAATGCATTCATGAAGTTTTAAAAATTCTTGCTTCTTAGCAAAACCTCTGCTTAAAGGGTTCATGTCACTTCAAGCCTCTAAGCCTGAAGTTCACAAAATGA